CCACTATGGAAACAGTATGGAGATTCCTCAAAAGACTAGGAATAGACTTACTGTATGACCCAGGAATCCCGCTCCTGGGCATATATCCAGAAGGAACCCTACTTCAAAAAGACACCTGCACCCCAATGTTCATAGCAGCACTATTTACAATAGCCAAGACATGGAAACAGCCTAAATGTCCATCAGCAGATGACTGGATAAAGAAGATGTGGTACATTTATACAATGGGATACTATTCAGCCATAAAAACCGACAACATAACGCCATTTGCAGCAACATGGATGTTCCTGGAGAATGTTATTCTAAGTGAAGTAAGCCAGAAAGAGAAAGAAAAATACCATACGAGATCGCTCATATGCGGAATCTAAAACAAAACCAAAAATCCCCCCAAAATACAAAACAGAAACAGATTCATAGACATAGAACACAAACTTGTGGTTGCCAGGGGGATGGGGTGGGAAGGGACTGGGATTTCAAAATTGTAGAACAGATAAACAAGATTATACTGTATAGAACAGGGAAATATATATCAGATCTTGTGGTGACTCACAGCAAGAGAATGTGACAAAGAATGAATGTATGTTCATGTATACTGAAAAATTGTGCTCTACACTGGAATTTGACACAACATTGTAAAATGGCTATAACTTAATAAAAAATGTAAAACCAAACAAACAAAAAGAATCCGATCACTCCTGAGTAGGCGTAAAACCAAACAGCTTTATTAAGGAACATACTCAGTAAAGGCCACTGTGTGAAGTCTATAAAAAGGCTCCCAAATAGTATTCACGCCAGAGTATTTCCCAGTCTCATATGAACCTCACTTCAGTGGAGTCCTTATTTAGGAAACTCGGCAGAGCTAATGAAAACAAGAAGGGGGTGCCTACTCCTGAGCCCCTCAAAGTGCATGCGACCCATGTGGACTTCAAACTCTGAGAAAGTAAGACCCCGATTCCTAGAACTTGACCGCACCAACACAGGAATAGTCGGGTGGCCAGAACATGCTGCCACAGGGACACACCCCTCCTGCTCCCAGAGCCACAGGGACAAGCCCCTGCCCAGGCTGACCTGCCTGCTGGAAACACGTTCATGGGCTAATCTATGTGATCCTTCCGCCAGAGAAATCAGAAACCATCCTGTGTTTTCATGCCACCAGACACAGTACAACTTTTCTTTTCCCTTTTTTCCTTTTCAAGGCAAATTGCAGGCAGCACAATGAGAGGGAATAAGTTGAAAATACATTCTGTAATTTATAGAGAACTAAATATTAGTACCTTGCTTTTTAAAAGAAAGGGAAAGGAAGCAAGGAGGCATCCTCCAGTCTAAATCTCCAATTGTTATGTAACTGCCACATTCTGGAATCTCTCAAAGCCGTGAGATGGTACCCAGAGCACGAGCCTGTGCCATGTTCACTGCAGTTAGACCAAGACTCTGAACTGACAGTCAACCTAAACAAATCAACCTAAACTAACCGTGCCGTGACTCCTGAAACATGTCACCAGCACTTACCCAAAGGATTTATCATGAGACTTATGTATGAGTAATTTCAAAAGGCAGCTGTTTCTTTGTATGTGAAAACAGCCAACACCACTGGCTGTCTGGCTGGACCAAATCGCCAAGAGCACAGACGCCCACACCCCGCCTCTGCCCAGCTCCCAGCCAGGCCCGCGGCACGCTCGCTCACTGAGAAGGGGAAGCAGGTCCTCACAGTGGAGTCCAGGGGCCGATACCTGCCCAGCTAAAGTCCTCCCCTACCTGCAAGGGCAATGCTACTGCTGGGCACTTAACTAGCTCCAGCAGCCTGGGCTCCAGGTGGGAAAAGTTCACAGCCAGTCACTAGCATTTGAAAACAGCAACACGTCTTACAAGAGGCTTGCTGGTTACTCAACCGTGGGCCTGATACAAGCTCCTTAGGAAACACAATCCAAGTATAAGATTTAAAAAATGGCTTTTAAATTGAGTTATAGAAACGTAGTTTACTTACACATTAGTCTATGTCAATGGCAGATAAAAAACTGCCGTTTTGTGATTCCAGCCTAATTTAACTTTATCCTTCTTAATAAAGGAGATTCATTAAAAGTTAATAGAGGCAAGTTTAAGTGATGCAGCACAGAGTAAGACCACTTGCGTTCAAATCCACACCTGCTGCTGGAGGGATGTGCAGCCTCAAGGGAGTTACTAACCTCTTCCTTCCTGTTTCCTCGCCCCTATAATGGGGATAATGAAAGTATCTGCCTCATGAGGATTAAGTAAAAAATCCATGTACAAGACTTATCGCAGTGCTGGCACACTGCAGGTGTTTAACACCGTTTGCTACTGTTGTGATAACTTCTACGTGAGTAAATTCACAGATCTCAAAGAACTCCTCTGGAAAACGGCTCAGGAAATGTGGCTGCCCCAGTCCAGGCTGCCTGATACCACCTGGCAGCTCCACAAATCACCAGTACTTTCCTGTCTGCGAATGTGAAGGCTGGACTAGATCAGAGGTGCTTCAACCGTGCTCTTCCATGAGAACCAGGAGGGGATGAAGAGGGAGGGCTGCTCTTATCGACACCACACTGAGCTTCCAGGTGAGGCACCACGTAAAAACAAGACTTCTGTGACTAAAACAAACTTGGCAACCACTGGACCGCGTGGTCACTCAGAGTCCCACCAGCTATTATTCAATGAAAATAATGAAAACACCTAACCAGAGAGGACACTAGGATTCACTGACGGAGAAAAGCAGGAAAAAACACTTAAGTTTGTTTTTTTTTTTAAATCACATTCACTGAGAGAAAGAATCTATAATTCTGGGCAGATGCCTTTCCGTCCTTCAGTAGGATGAACTGGCCCATTCCAGATTAAACGTCTTTCTACCTGGAAATAGGTCATTTAAAAACTTTTTTACATTCCTTTTAGCCCTGGCAGGGAATTAAGAAAGTGCACATTGTATCGTAAACATTTGTAAATGGCTGAAATCTCCCTCTGGGCTGGTGTCTCAGGACCTTGGACTGTTCCTCGGTTACTCAGACCATCACTTTCAGTGCCAGCTCAGGAAGGGTCTCTGAAAGCTCAGGACACACCCGCCTGGCCTTCTGTCCAGCAATGCCGACACCTGCAGGGACACCATCACAAGCCCCAGGGTACTCTTTCAGTTTTTAGCAAAGCTGAACAGAAGTAAACAGAAGGCCGAGGGCGATACCCTTAACTCTGAATGCTCTGTTTTCTCTTCACAACACATCTGAAGTAAGGCAAGGCCCCACACTTACCACCACCACGCTCTTGGATGCGTCCAGGACGTGGATTACAGGCGCACTGTATCTTGGAGCTATTTTAACTGCTGTGTGGGTTCTGAAAAGAGGGGTCAGGAAGAAAAACATATCCATCAGTGCTGACAGTGCCTACACAGCTCTTGTTCAGAACCACTAGAGATAATGTGTTTCTACAGTGCTTTCCAGAGAAAGATTTCATGGTACTTATAAATATTGAACTTCAGATTTTCCCAGTAAAACAAGAATGACTTTCTGACACCCTAAGATGGGGAAGCCGAGGGGAAAAGACCTGGATTTTGACACAAGCTACAAAGACGCCTACAAAAAACCAAGAAAGACTATGTCCTCAGCTCTCCACCAATGGGGTGACCTGCAACCTTGCACTTGTGAGCAGCCTGTCTGAACTAAGGGAGCCGACCAGCCAGGGTGACTGCACTTTGCTGTCATTGAGGTCAAGGGCAGTTTCTTCCTGTGACGAGCTGGGCCACCAACCAGGGGCCCAGGAGAACCAGACACTGGCAGGGGACACAGGGCACCACTCTCCAGCTGCTGCTCCCTGTTCCTGGGGGACACCAACACTCCTCGACCCCAAGCCCATCTTGTCCTTGGAGGAAGGAGCCTCGGACCCTAAATAAATTCAACACAAAGTAACACAGAGAAGCAAAAGCAACAAGAGACTCTTATCTTAACAATGGCTTAGCCCCAAATTCCTTTCGCCAAAACTGAAAACGTCAGTACTGAGGAAGAAGCACTCTTCAATCCTAAAAATGATCTAATTTTACCAAAAACTTGCCCCCTGCTGAACGTTCATACCAATAGCATAGACTCCTTACCTGCCTTCTCCTTCTAGAACACAACACATCAAGCTGAGGCCCGAGAGTGCACACTGCCTCCCCCACTGTGGCTGAGCCAGGGCCCTGAAGCTGGGGAGAAGTGGGGCGTCACCACAGTTCCAGGGGGAGGGCGACACCAGGCCCCAACCCAGGACAGGCCAGACTTCCAGCTTTCCTTCCCCTTCAGGAAGCAGCAGCTTTCCCCAGGTCAGATGCTTTCATATTCTTCGCCCTCAACTACAACGTGTTTCCTTGGAAAGATGTTCAGAACATGCTACTTTGTGAGGAAAAATCAAAGTGGCAAAATAGTATGTTGATACCGTTTTATTTGAAAAACCAAACACTCCCACCCTCAACCTGCTGCAACCAGCCAACCTTATGTAAGTGTCTATATATTTAGAAAACACAGAAACAGACCCCGAGGTGCCCGCACTGGTTGCCTGGAGGTCAGAGGTGGGACCGAAGGTGGGAGGGGAGAGACTGAATTTTACTGTACATCCCTCTGAATTGTCAGACGTGTCCTAGTAAGTGTGGATCACTGAGGCCATTTTTAAAACCAGGAGAATGCTGAAGGCGCAGTACCTGTGTGTGTTTTCAGCAGGTCTTCTAAGGGAAGGCTCTGAAAACTCATTCACGACGAGACAGACAGGAGCACTAACAGCCCCCCCGCCGTGTCTAAGCGCGTTTCCGCACGTCAACAGGAAGCCAGGGACTAAGGGCACGGCCACCAGAGCCAGCTGTAGGGCTGCAGGACGGAAGTCAGGCCTGAGCCGGGCAGCGCGAGGCGCGCCTCCTGGACGGGCAGGCCGGGCGCAGAGCCGCGGGAGCGGGCCGTGGCCCCGGAGCAGCCGGCCCGGCCCCACCACCTCCTCAGGACTGCCTCTGTGTCTGCTGTGCGCCTGGGGACCAGAGATCTGAAGGCACTCGGGGTATTCTACAAGGAGGGAAGATTTTCAAACAACAGGAAAAGTCACAAAGAAGAAGTTGCTTCCAGTTTCAAAACAGAACACAAGTCAGACTGCGTGTGCTGCTGCTTCAGTGGTCAGCAGCCCAAGCACACAAACACATCTCCGTGTGTTTCTGTATGACGCTCCCCCAGGAAACAGTATCTTACGCCTGATGTGACTGCAGTGACGTCTCTTTTAAAGAAAGCCAGTAAAATGTTCAATTTCTAAATCAACCTATTTACTAAGCATCCAATCGAGGGTTTTCAGTATAATTCTCGCCACTGTCTCTTTGAGGATCTTCTGGGAAAGGGCAGTGAGAAGAAATGGATGGATTCCACAATTTAAAAAAATAAAACAAATAAAAGCAAAGTGCTGCTTTCCAACATAAAAACGGCCCAAGCTGGATGAGCACAGGCATGAAATCCGAGCTTGCCCGCCGTCAAGAGCGCTTCCGGTTTCCTCGTGAAATAATCTGACACTGGTTCTGCTTTTTCTAAGCCTCCATTTACGTGCACTTCTCCAGCTGGAAGATGTCTTTCTGAAGTCTGCAAACCACTGGAATCCCTCTTCCTGTTCCTACGTACCAAGAACAAAGGGCTAGCCACTGAGGCTGAACCCCAAATCCATCTCTGCTAAGTCACTCATCAAAACTTACGATTTAATCAGTCACCTCCCATACTTGCTAAATGGACGTGGTAGTGTTAACCTTGGAAGACCTTTCTTTAACACTCTGAAAAGAGTAAGTACTCCGAGCATTTATTTCATATCAAGTCCTATCCCAGGATTAAAGTGTTCTACCTAAATGCACATGACCAAAACTTAAAGTTTGATGAGAAAAACGAGAAACAGAAGTAAAGATGGTAAAATTGAAATGGAATCAGGAAATTAGCACGTAAAATTCATTCCATGAAATGCTACACACAGGCGTGAGCTCTAAGCTTCCCTGCAGTCTATTCAAAGGGGAAAATAACATCAGTTATGTGATTCAGCACCTTACGTAGCAATAAAAAAAGAACTCGGAAAATTATCTCCAGCTTTGAGCAATGTGACTTCCTATTGAATTCTCCAACTTAAATTACACAAAAGATAATTGAAAAAGACACTTTGCAGTTATTGGCTTTAAACCAGTTAAAAATTAAGAGCTAACTGCCAGACTCGTGCCCTTGAGAAGTTCTGCAGCTAACGTGGTTCCTAGCTTGTGCTATAAAGCCATCTGTATTACAGACAGGACAACACTCAGTCTCCTACTCTCCTACCGCTGCAGGTAAAGAGGGACCCTCCAAGCACATTTCTACCCATATGTGAGCCCACGTCTGCACAACCCTTTCAGCCTCTCCAAGGATCCATCCTTACGCCTCATTTCGAGTGTCTCGGGGGTGCCGTTCTAATTCTATCATGCTCCCCACCACGGGCCCCTGAGGTCTGGAAAAGCCATGCTGTTACATTCCCTCAGAGATCTGCTTCCATGAGAATTTGGAAGTCCTGAGCCTCCATCTGCTCAAAAACAGTTAGCAAAGGAAAGAACTGGGCCACTGCCAAGCCCGGGAGAGGTCTGCAGGAGGTAACAGCAAGGGCTTCGGAGACAGTCAAACTCCTCAGTATTTTCTAGCAAAGCTGACACTCCTAGGGCAGATGGCTTCTTACACAGATACAAAAAGCACTAAGCACAAAGGAAGAAACTGACATATCAGACTTCATGAAAAAGAAAAGTTTTCATCACCCAAAAGATCACTAGGACAGCAAAATGTAAGAGATGAATCTATTTAAAAAATATATTTCTGATAGAGCCTATACCCAATATAAATAAAGAATGCACACAGATTAATAAGAAAAGAGGCAGAATACCTAATTAAAAAAAAACTTAAAAAGCATATCATGTCAATATGCACAGGAAAAGGCACTCAACGTCAATTAGTTAGCAGAGAAATACAAAGGAAAACCTTATCAGCCTGTTACTACATACACACTAGAATGGATACAACTGGAAAGGATGTGGCACTCACAACTGCTGGTGGGAGTATAAATTAACACAGTCGCTTTGGAAACTACTCTGCAGTATCTAATGCAGATGATCACATGCGTACCCTGTGACCCAGCAAGCCTGCTTCGGGGCAGAAACACACACAGAGCAGCATTCTGTGTAACAGCCCCAAACTGGGAGACCCAAAGTCCACTGCCCATAGCACCACCGCCCGTAGCGCGGGTAAACACGCCACAGTGTATTATGCGAGGCAATATTGTATCACAACGGAAAAAAAAGAAACAACTACTGTAACAACAAGTTTGGGCCTCAGACACAGCGCTGAGCCAGTCACAGAAGAAGACCCGTAACAGGATTCCACTTATACAAAGCTGAAGTGCAGGCAAAGCCGAACTCTGGCGACAGAAGAGACAAGAGCAGCTACTGGAAAGGATGGCTTGGGTGGGTGTATCCAGCGAAGTCCCTAGGGTGTCACTAATGTTGTTTTTCTCAATCTGGAGGTTGTTATGTAAGCGGTTTCATCTTTGCAAACGTCCATCAAGCGGTGGCTCTACGATTTGTACACTCTCTTCTGCATGGCCGCTAGACCTCAGTCACAGCACTCGCTCAGAGAGCAGGGCTCGAGGAAGCTCGACTCCAGGTGTGAGACCTTCGCCCACTGTCACTGCTTCAGAATGGAGTCAGAGCAGGGAATTTCACACTGAAGTTCTTGGAGGTTGCATGAGAATCTGTTTTTCAAAGGCTGCTCTAGCACCACAGTGGAGAAGGGGATGGTCACCTGGAAGCTACTGGCTTTTATTTTCTAAATAATTTCTCAGAAATTGCACAGGCATGAACGAGAACAGAACCAGAAAAGCTCATTGAGAAATAAACACTGGAGAGCTGAAGAAAGCCTGGGAGGTCAGAGGACCCAGATTTCTGTCTTCACAGAGGAACACATCACAGTTCCCCTGATGATAAGAGACATTCGGCAACAGCATGAAGATAGTGGGTGATTTTTGATCTGATTAATTTTACCTTCATATACCAGGCTCTAACTGTTAAGAGTCATTTATGCCTAATTTTTTCAGTGATGTATCTTGAGAGGCTAGTAATGTTTCTTCTTATTTTTTAAGAAACCTCTTTAGTCTGGCAGCTCTTAGTTGGTTAAGAGATATACTAGAATCATTGATCATGCTCCAACTTGCACAAGTAACACTATGCGGCTTCCTGATACTGAACTTCTGAGTGTAGTATCCCACCATACAAAATGGTTCTTATTTTGAAACCAGCATCACATTTCCATAACTCATAAAGCTTTTCATTGTATCTGCTCATTTAAATATTTACTTATCCTATTTTACAATTGTGATTTTACGAAGTCTTTCATTCTGACAGTCATCTGTAGATTCTCCCACCATTCTCTTTACTAAGCTAATGAATATTCACACTATGATCATCAGCTACCCAAGACCATGCTCACTGAAACCTAGTTATCAACGGCTGGTCATGTCCCTGGAGAACATATCCTGGCAGATAAGCCCTCTGAAAAAACATGCCCAGTTTTCTAATGTGAGCAACAACAGCCACACTACCGAGCCCCTCAGGTATGAAAGCAACTAAACCACGCAGAACACTGACCACACATGGAAAGGACCCATGCAGATCATGAGTAGAAGGATGGCTAATTCTATGTGCCAATTTGCCTAGGCCATGGTACCCAGTTTTTGGTCAAACAACAATCTAGATGTTTCTGGCAAGGTGTTTTTTAGATGTGATTAACATTTAAGTCAGCGGACTAGGAGTGAAGCAGATTATTACCCTCCATACTGTGGGTGAGCCGCATCTAATCAATTAAAGACCTTAAGAGAAGAGACCGAGGTCCCCAGAGGAAGAAGGTCTTCTGCCTCCAGACTCAAGACTGCAACAGCAACTCCTACCTGATCTCCAGTTTGCTGCCCTTCCCTGCAGACTTCAGACTTACCAGCCCCCATAATCACATGAGCCAGTTCCTTAAAATAAATCAAATCCCGCCCCCCTCTGCACCTGCTGTTTAAGGAGATACACACACATCCTACTGATCCTCTTTCCCTGGAGAGCCCTGACTAACACGAATGGCTTGATGTACAGTTGCCTCCAGCACAGCAGGAACCCCAGGATAGCCCTGACCAGGCATCCATCACACTTAGTAGCAGAAAAGCAAACTGCAAGCCAGTGGGACCATCAGGGACAAAGCTCCATCTGGGCACTGCTCTCTGCCAAAGTGAGCTACATAGGGCATAAGGAGTGTGTCATAAAAAGTCTAATACCTGTAATTAACATACCTCTCACCAAGCAATCGTTATGATCATGGCCCCAGGAAAAATCTGGCAAACTGAGTAACGATCATGTGACCAACTGGAACTTTCTCTTCTTTAAATTATTTGACCCAAACGTTGCCAAAAGGTTTCCCTTTCAAAAACAACTTCCCAAAGTGATCATTTGATTCCTTGTCTCTAGGTCAGTTTCCTATCTCAACTATTACAAGGTCAGAATTTCTTCAAGAGAACCTGGAATTATTCACTCAGACACCTGCTTGAAGACAGGGAGTGGGCTAAAGTTCAAACAATCTCTCTGTGCCAAGAGACACAGCTTCTCCACTCAGTTTTATTTCAAGAGGAATAAGCGTTTGTTAGAAGTCTCAGGAACTGGACGGGAGGTGAAAGGATTAAGGAAAAGATGACTGCAAGTCAGAGGAATCCACACACAGGCAGAGGGTGGGGAGATGACAGAGGAGTTTCTTGCAGCATGCACCCAAATTATGCTGGCTCTTGTCCACGTGAAGACCAGAAAATTCATATGTTTATATAATAAGAAGCCAACACACTGTGCATAAGAAAAAACTCAGGTTTTATCACTGTTTCTAAACGCTGGCATCTAAGAGAACTTACTGTGAAGCAGCAAGCTCATCGGCATGACCTACCTCGAAGTGGTGGCTCCTCCAATCAGCAACGGGATCTTTATAGCTAACCTCTCCATCTCCTTAGCAACAAAAATCATTTCATCCAGGGAAGGAGTAATGAGTCCTGACAGGCCGATTATATCTATGATTTAACAACAACAACAAAAAAAGGACAGTAAGAAGGAAGATGAGACAAAAAGAGGAAAACTCATTTTTAAGACTCTAATAAAGGCCACAAGACAGAATATAAATTCCCAATTTCTAATTCTGAGACTTCTTTTTTGACTGAGGGTTTTCAATTTGCTGTTTGTTTTTGGTAGTAAATGTGACGTGCAACTTAAAAGTTGCAATAATATGCCTGCCACAGTTTGGGGAAGCCATGCAATAAAGCATACGGTCAGCTCATGATTTCCTAGACTCAGCAGGTCAGTGTCTGAAGAAACAAAAACACAAACATACTCAGAGGAAAAAATCCAATACAAAGTGTTCTCTTATGAGAAGCCTGTCCTGTCCCATTCCCCTTCCTCAGAGCTATACCGGAGTCTCAAAGTCGCCTGGTCAACCCTCCAACCGCCATTACTAATGACAATGCAGGAGACCCAGGCAGGGCTGGCACCTGCTTGTCCGAATGTCCCACCCATCCCACGTGAGCTGGGCCATTCCTGTTCACTGACAGACAGACACTGGGGGAAGCGACATTTACTGCAATGCACAGTACCTGCTTTGTGGTCAATAGCAGCTTTCAGTATCTTATCACAGGGAGTCATGACCCCTAAATCAATAACTCTGGGACACAGAAATGAGAGGTGAGAAAATTAATGAGAACACACTAGAGACAAAGCTAAATGAACATTTTTATTTAGCCACTAAATACTGCTCTAAACTAAACTGGAATCACACTGAAAAGCTCGTCTACCACCACCACCACCACCACGCCTGTCACTTATTAGGGACGGACTGTGCGCGAGGGACCGTGCTGAGCTTGTTCAAACAGCTTCACTGATAGAATTCACAGAGCATATAATTCACCGTTTAAAGCATACAATTCAGTAGTTTTTGGTACAGGACATTATTTTCTAAGCTCTGGTAAAATATATGTAATATATAACTTGCGATTTTAACTGTTCTTAAGTGCACAACTTGGTGGCACTAATTGCAGTCAATCACAATATTGTGCAACCATCACCACTTATTTTCAACTCTTCCATCACCCCAGACAGGAAACCTGTCATCACTCAGCAGTAGTTCCCATCCCCAACGCCCCAGCCCTGGCATTCGCCGCCTCCATATATTTATACAAGTGGACTCATGCATTGTTTGTCCTTTTGTGTCTGCTTAGTCGCCGAGCATAATGTCTCCCAGGCACATCCACGCTGCAGCTGTGTCAGCACTTCCTTCCTCTTACAGGCTGAGTATTACTCCATGCACGCGTGTGCCATGCGGTGTTTGTTTATACACTCACCCGTCTACAGCAGGTACCTGGGTTGTTTCCACTACACCAAGCTCTCTGCATAAGCAACCTCACTTCACCTTCACAGGAATTTGATGATGGAAACACTACCATGGCCCATTTACCCAAATATTTATATATATATATAGGATGGATTACTATAAATGGGATTATTGCATCAAAGAATAAAAACTTTTTACGATGTTTAATTCATATTTAAAATTTGATTTTGAGGTAGGTCTACCAATTCATACTTTTTTTTTAATTCTTGAAAACGATTTTAATGAGGAAGGACCCTGAGAAATGTTGGCCCAGAAGTTAAGCATCCTGTCCAGTCAAACAACTAATAAGTAGCAGGGCTGGAATCTTAACCTGGGTCTGACACAAAACCCATCCTCTTAGCACTCAGGCCAGTAAGAAGATGCTTGGGAAGCCCATTCAGTAAATATCCATTGCACGTACTACTTTGGAAGCCATCAAGGAGAGGTCAGTTCCTGCACACGGAAAGCTGACAATAAGGAACTCTGGTTACCCAAGTCAAGGGAGGGAGAGACTGAACCAGGGAGCAGTTCACCAAGAGAAATGGACTGAGACTCAAAGGAAAGGCTGACCCTGGAAGGCACACACAAGGAGGAGGGCGAAACTGGGCAGAAAAAGCCTGGAGCACGTCCTGAGAGGACAGACTGATACCAAGGAATTTTAACTCGTAGAAGAGATAGCTTTCTGAAACTCAGAACAAACAGGATTTCTGCCCTGGAAAATATTCTATATACTGCTCCTCTATCCTAGATTTATTGAGCACACATAACACCAGACATTTTTACAATTTAATTTTATCATGAGTATTTCTTTTAAAGATGCTCTTAAAAACTACAGCATGCATTTTCACTTATTTCACAATGTCAACAATTCTCAAGTAGGCAAAATAATTTTAAATAAAAAAATCAGTGCTTAAGAACTACTCCCAGACATAGTATCGGCAGCTACCAGTAGTAGGTGTTGGACACCAGGGGCAGGGAGGAGCCCTGCTTCTCAATATATACCCTTTCATAATGTTGGAGTTTTTAGCTTGTTGCCATATTACTTAAAATTTCTAAAAAAAATAACCTAGCACATACGGACTCCTCAGCACGCAGACAGTGTCAGTCAGTGACAGCTATACTCAGGTTTGCCAGCGCCCACCCAGCAGAAGACAAATGCTGCAGGTTTTGATGGCGGGGCACTGCAGGCTGTAACAGGAGCCAGGTGGCACCTTATTTTTTTTTTTGGCACATTGAAGAAAAGTCTGACAGCTGGATTTGCTAAACTATGACTAAGCACAGACCACTGCGTATAAAACTCAGCGTAGTAGCATACTGCTCAAGACAAAACGGCGTGCATTTCAAAAGTGACTTTTCAACATTGTATACCTTTAAAATATTCAATTAAAATCATCAGTGCGATGGCAAGAATTGTCTTGCTCTCAGTTCTTTTTCCTGCTTTCTGCAGTGCATCTTTCAGGAACACTGCGTGCATGCTTGCTCTGAGAAAAAGCAAGACCTCACAGCTGGACAGAAATGGAGGAAGGAGAAAGTCGTGGGGAGGGAGGTCCGAGAGGGAGAAGAGGGCATGTCAATGGCAGCAATCAGTTCAATGTTCAGAACATGAAGTTTGACATTTCTTCAGCTATCCAGACGGAAATCTCAAACAGTCGACTGGATATGTAAGTCTGAAGTCCAGGTGAGAGATATAACTTGGGACTTGTTGAGTATTAGATGGTATTAAAAAGTCCCAAGACTATGTGTAAAAGATTAAGAAAAATAAGCTGCCAAAAGTGGGGGAGCAAGGGGAGAGGGAGAAAGCGGGGAGGAGGGAGGGGAGAGCGGAGAGATGCAAGAGAAACGCCTTCACAAGACAGGACGAGATGGCCTAAGGCCATCCAGGCCGTCGTCCCCCAGGTGTGCTCCCTGTACCTGCAGCACCAGCGCCACCTGGGAGCTCGTAAGAAACGCAGAACCTCCGGTCCAGACCTCCTGTAACCAGATCTGACCTTCATCAAGATCCCCAGGTGATCAGAAGGACCATTACAATCTGAAAAGCACTAGGCAGTGAGGACAGACAGAGAAGAGGTCCAAGGGCTGAGCCCGGACACTCGCCCATTCAGGGGTTGCAGAGAGGGAGTCCCAGCGGTCACTGAGGTAAGAGAGGTCTGGACACAGTGAGCTAGGGGACTGGGTACAAGTTCAGTTTCCAACTTATCAGGCTGCCTTAGGAAGTCTTGCTGGGAAACAGCCAACTATACCACTGTTTAGAGGGACCTTTCCCAATGCTTTCCTGCACAGAAAATAATATTTATGGCAGCGGAATACACGAAGGAGGCTGCTCACCGCCACGACAACCAGTCGAGGGCTGGGGCTGCCCCGTCCACCCTAGAAGAAGGGGATCGGTTTCTCAGCACATCTGAGCTGAAAAACTGCTGGCAAGTTCTACATGAAAACAGAGTATGACAAGTGCTCCAACAGGGCATTTACAGTGCGTCATGGGAGGCCAACTGGGTAACAATCAGAAGCATCCTGGGGAGTGACAGCAGCTGAATTTTGAAAAACTAAGTAGGTGTTAGCTAGATGAAGGCCCAGAATCACGAACAACTGGCCATGGGAACCCTGGCTGAAGGAGGGATCCGAAGGCTGGGTGACACCCATTCCCTGTCTTCTGTGGCCGCCGCCATTCTTCCCACCACCCTTCCCACCTTCTCTCCCTTTACTTTGTCCTGCCTCCCCCACACACCTCTCTGCCTCTCTTGGCTTTGCCTTGGTTTCCATCCTGCACTCTGAGCCACACCCCATGTCTGTAGGCCTCTTCTTTGACAGATTCTTATATTCTGCCACATGAGTGATTAAAGAAAATAAAAATGAATATTATGGAATTTTAAAAACTGTATAATCATCTTTCTCAAGTGCTTGTAACAGAGCTGTTAACACAAGCATTTAATTCAGAAAAAAATGTAAGATGCATTAAATGCTTTAGCAAAGGCATCCAATCCTATCTGAGAATACATACAGTTTAGAAAATAAAATATTGTAATAGGTAAAGTCCCTTTTGCTCTCCAGAAGGAATGAAAATGGAAAATAAGGCTGGCTTTGCATCTGCACCCACTTTGGGCGCCTCACATTTGCTGTCACGTGAAGTGAAGTTAAAGGTGGCAGCTTGTTTCTGATCCTGCAATTCACATCTGCCACCACTGGATGGGAGTACCCCACCAGCCTGCAGCCCCAGCGAAGGTTTCCAGCCTGTGGCTAAGGTGTCTGTCAATAGACGAATGGTAAAGATGTGATCTATGTACAGGATGGAACCATGAGAAGCCATAGGGAAGAAGGAAATCCTGCCATTGTGAAAACATGGATGAGCCTTGAGGGCATTATGCCAAGTGAGGTGAGTCAGACAGAGAGAGACAAATACCCTGAGTGTGCGATGCTTCTGCGGGGAATCTAAGGAAGCTGAACGTACAGAAACAGTAGAATTGTGGTTACCAGGGGCTGTGGGGTGGGGAAAAGCCGGTCAAGAGAAGCTTGAGAGTTCTAGAGAGCTAACACGCAGCGCTGAATACAGTTAGCAGCACTGTATGATCCGCTCCAGAGTGCTGGGAGCTGATTCTTATCACTTCACGAGGTTTACTCATCAAGGCAACGAGGAATGAGAAACTGCATTAGGATTTGGTACTGGATGGTTTGCTAGACTCACTCACTAGCTGGGTGGTGCAGCCAAGCATCAGCCTAGCGATGCCCAGCAAAAACACACGTCCAAGCACATCAGGCAGATCTTGGGGCCACCCGTCTGCTAGCTGACATCGTAACATTAAACACACCAATACCAAGGGTCCACATGTAATGAGACACAAGACCCAAACGGGTGTTTGACCTGACAGGAAAAGTCTGCACACTCACTATTTTTTGTAAAAAAAATTAAGCTTCATCAGATGTTTCTCCAGTCACTTACTAGCAGAGTTAAGCAAAAGTTATCTTACTAGCAAAGACAAGCAGACCTTCAGTGCACAAGCTAGAGAACTGGATGTACTGGAGGAAAGCCTCTGGTCTGATTAGCCACTTTCACTGCTGACATTGGTCTTCAGCAGCACCCTGGAGAAATGCCAAGCTCTCCCTGGCCTCTTAACATGTCTTTACTGGAGGGAAAAAACATTCCTGATATGATTCTCTCAGCTACTTACCCATTCTTCCCAATAAACAGTGATAAACACATGACAATGATATCTCAAGGACTGGCTTAGGAAGTTTGCCTTTTCCACAGTTCCTGCCCCATTATCACCAGCTTTTTAGCCTGATAAACAGGAAATTTCTTAAATGGAGAAAAGTCAACTAAATCATTTTGGTGTCTCGGATACAAATGCACAGTATGTAACAGGTGATCCATAAACATTTATTAGCTGAGCTGAATTTTAACTAATTGTGATGAATGCAAATAGAAACCAACAACACAGGGTTTGAGGTGAGACAACAGCAGAAGTGTCACAGACTCCAGGACGCAAACACCTCATCCAAATACTTACTGTGTAGGTAAAATCTCATCACAAAAACCTCCACCGTAGCTCTAATGTATTAAAAAAAAATTCGAAGAACAATATTCCTCACCTCCAGGGTGGGAGAGAATCTGAGCCTTCTGACAGTGGGGCGGGGAGGCAGGCAGGGGAGAGGGGGAAGTCCTGATACCTCTCCTCCACCTCCAGTCTTTCTGAATGGTTCAGAGTTGCATTCACTCAGCCCTGAACGCAGAGGTGGATAAACGTGTTGAAGGCGGGGGGGGGGGGCGGCTGAAAGGCTAACTGGTGTGTGACAGCGGGAAAACCGAACTCTACGGGGGCGCAGCTGTAGCTGCAGTCAGGTCTTCTCTACAGTGAACACAGCACATTGCAAAGAAGTCCATGACTCAAAAGGACTGCTGGCTGGACGTGGGTCTGAGAAGACACAGTTATACTAGGCTTCTCCTTGTAGAGAATATGTTGAAATCTGAGCAGAACATGCACTTACATGAGCGCTCAGACGGAAACAAACGTGTGCTGAGTAACTACTCAAGCATAATGAGACACATAAGGGATTTTACTTGAGTACAACACTCGACAACCAGCTTCATCAGTCGCTCGACAACCAGCTTCACCAATACCAGGAGGCGTGCACGGCTCTGTTCCAAGGAAAGGAGCAAGAGCTGCACAGTCAAAGGCTTCTTCTAAAGCTCCATCTGGCCAAGCTCTTGTAAGATCTTGGCTCTAAAATCTGGCAGTTCACTGAGAGTAAAAGGGAATATGCCCCAGGCCACTGACCGTGGGGCGGAGCCCAGTGTTCTAGCCTCTGGCCTGAAGTCAACTCCCAGGAAGCCTCCTGGTTGTTTTGACTCTGCTTGAATAGTTTTTGCTCTACTTTATGTCCTTACTGAACATACAACAGATTAAATAATAACTAACTTATTTCATTTAAGAAGGTATGTTCAATGTAGAAAATTCGAAATCACAGTGAAGAAATTAAATATAACCTCTATCACCTATTGCCATACCCTACCCCTCTCGCCCAATAAAGAATCAGCCTGTTAATGCTTTTGTTTAAAAGAAGGAAAGATTTGAAAGGGGTGGGTCTTGACTCACCTGAAATTGTTGCACCCGAGGACCACTCCAACGATGTTCTTGCCTATGTCATGCACATCCCCCTTGACGGTGGCCAGCACGATGGTGCCTTGGTAAGGGTCCTGGAGAGAAAGTCAAGCAGTTCAGCACTGCTGCAGTCATTTCAGAGCGGACCACCCAGTTCTCTAGAGCCAGACAGGCGTCGGCACAGAAAGCACTTCAACACAACCAAGATGGCCTCCAAGATAGACCTGGAACCCAAATCACATGCTCTGTGAGTAGAAAGGAGGCCCACCTAGTTGGTAGCTCAGGGGGCTTCAACCAAGATCCTGGACTCCATCACCTCAAAGAACAGTTTCAGTTCAGTACAAATAGTCCATAGTGAAAGATCATATTCTTAAGCCCAAAACCTATCTGGTAACTGTGTACTGCTGGTGGTAAAGGGGGAGGGAGGAGCTGGAGAGCTGCCCGTGTCCCATCACAGCGGGAACAACCACAGCGCCAGCGCAGACGGATGCCTGGTTACCCTCTCCAGCACTGCCGTTCTAGGTAAAGAACAAGGTGTGCAACGCAAGTGGGATTTTTATAAACACTTCAGAGCCACTCACACACAGATCAGCCTCAGAATTCAGTCACAAGGACCAACACTGATTTACCATGGTCGTGCAGCCAACAAGAATGAACCTGAATCCAGGAGTGGTGTCAAGGACATTACCAGCACACGGAGAATATTCAGTCAAGAGATTTTCCAAAACTGAACATCATTTCAAGGGTGAAGCTCAATCTTTTTTAGCTACAGTGTCAAGCACGGCCTCGGCACACAGTAGGGACCTTGTAAGCAGTAAGCAGGTGAGTGAACAAACTGATTCTGTTTTGAAATCATGGGCTTTGTTTGAAAAACTATGTTCCTATTAAAAATTTCATGAAGCCACATTCAAAGGAGAATCCCAATGTATTCTGTCTGATATTTGGTAAAAGAGCTGGGTCTCCTCCTTGTTTCATCTAATGACAAACACAGCCAAGCCCGAAGTATTAGGTCCCCACCCGCGCCAGTCAGCCCTGGGGCCAGTTCCTCAGGGAACCGGCGGGCCCAGACGAAATGACTTGCCTCGTCTTCTGCTGTGCCAGTAAGCCCTCTGGTTTCTTCTCTCTCTTTTTCCATGAAGGGAATAAGGTGACCAACAGCCTTCTTCATGACCCGAGCTGACTTTATAACCTGGGAAACACAGAGTCAGGCGTCTTTACCCAAACACCCGGATGGTCACTAACGGCCACTCGTGAAAGGTTCACACAGACTATCGCTTGCTTCGACCTCAGGGCAGCCTCCCTGGAGCCCGCTTTTGACACAGGCAGGTAAGGAGTGAGTCCCCTGTGGGGAAAGCCAGTGAGCGAGGCAGAGCAGGAGGAAACAGGGCTGGAGATCCATGCTGCAGTTTCTGCCCTCTGAACTTCTGCAAGGTATTTTTTCTCCCTCAAAGGCCCTCCATCATTTCTCCAGGTTCTACATGTTCCTCGAGTATCAAGCTTCTTCTCTGTGAGCCCTTCTCAGTCCCCAGCATTACATTAACTCTTAATTAAGGCTTATGCAAAAAAAAAGGGGGGGGCTTTTTAAAGCCTACATAATGGGGAAAATTTTGCAAATTATATACTTAGCTATGGGATTGATACCAAAAATATATAAAGAACTAACACAATTTAATAACAAAAATCCAAACATTCTTACTAAAAAGTGGGCAGAAGAACCAAAAAGACATTTTTTCCAAAGAGGACATCAAAATGGCCAACAGGCACATGAAAAGGTGCTCAACATCACTAACCATCAAGGAAATACAAATAAAACCCATAATGAGGTATCACCTCACACCTGTTAGAATGGCCATTGCTAAGAAGACAAGAAACAACAGATGCTGGTGAGAACGTGCTAAAAAGGGAAATCACACACTGTTCATGGGAATGTAAATTAGTCCACCTGCATAGAAAACAATATGGAAGTCCTTCAAAAAATTATAAGCAGGTCTACCACATGGTCCAGCAACTCCACTTCTGGGTATAAACTCAAAGGAAGTGAAAACAGGATTTTGTTAAGATATATGCACAACCATGTTTATCACAGCATTATTTACAACAGCCAAGATTTAGAAACTACCCCAAATGCCCATCAACAGATGAATGGATAAAAAAGATGTGGTGTATAGATATATACACAATGGAGTATTGTGCAGCCACGATAAAGGATATCCTGCCATGTGCAAAAAACATGGATGGGCCTTGAGCACACAAAGCAAAATAAATCAGACAGAGAAAGACAAGTGCTGTATGAAATCACTTATATGTGGAATCTAAAAAAGCCAAACCTGTAAAACAAAACAAAACAAAACAAAACAAAACAAAACAAAACAAAACAGAATAAAACAGTGGTTACCAAGGGATGGGGGAAGAAAAGATAAGACTGATGGTATTTAAGGGTACAAACTTGGAACAAGTAAATAAGCCAAAGAGATCTAATGCACATTATAATGAATACAGACAATAATACATTATAGTGATGTAGTGCGATAAATACTGCTTTTATGGCAATCATATTACAATATATATAAATGTATCACTGTACATCATATTTGCAAAATGTAACATGTCAAATTTGTTAAATAAGTAGAAAAAATGAACAGGGACTTTCATAAAATTCATCAATGTATGCTAAAACTCATGAGTAGAAGTAGGGTGAGAAACAGGATATTCGCACCATCTCAAAGTTTCCCCCTACAAGTCAGTTTCTAGTGGAGGAACGTAGTAGACACCGTTAGCCAAATGACCGGAGGTGGTATCACCAGGAAGGAGACACAGCAACAGTGATGGGCCTCCTGACATGACCCACTGAGAAGGGCACAGCAACACTCTGTGTAATTCCTGTCAGAAATGAGAAAACATCAGACAAAATCTCGTTGAGAGACAGTCTACCGTTATCAAACTGTACCGCACTCTTCAGAAGTCAAGGTCATCAGGAAGGACTCAGGAACTGTTAGAAAAGGCAGGATAAAAGCAATGTGGGATTGTGGGACAAAAAGAACAGTGGTGGAAATACTGGTGAAATCTGAATAAGGTTTCCAGTTGTCAGCGTTATACCAATGTTAATTTTCTGATAACCAGACTATGATCAAGCAAAAATGTTAACATTAGGGGAAGAAGTTGAGTGAGGGATATATGGACACTCTGAAACTACAGCTGCAACTTGTCTGTAAGTCTAAAGCTAACTCAAAAATAAAAAGGTGAAATAATATGTCAACATCCTGAAAAACAAAGACTGAGAACTGTCACAGACTGAAGAAGGCTAAGACAGAACAACTGAGTATTTCTTATCTTGACTGTGGTGATGGTTTCACAGGTGCATACATGTTAAAGCTGATTAAACTGTATCCACTATATATGTGCAGTTTATTGTATATTAACTATAAAATGATACAGCTATAAGAAACACCATGAAGGAAGACGGAGAAAATGAGCAATTAATAATTAAATACAGAATGAGTTAAAAAAAAAAAAAAGGAACAAGAGCTTTTAGTTTTTTGTGTGCCTGACAGAACTGAACCCAGAAGGTTCAACAAGTATTTGTTAACTGATGGGGCAGGTAGTTGCTGTAAATCAAAGTAAGAGTACTGGTTTTACTTGAAACGTATCACTTAATGTGTATCACTTTTCAAAATATTCATCCTTATGGATGAACACTGACTGGTCAAATAAAATCTTAGTATGATTAACTTTACATTAATCTTGAGTTTTATTTTAATTCTGGGGTGGTGGAGAGACAGCTGTTGGAGGTAAGAGGTGGTACAGAAGACCAGAACATGAAAGGAAGGAAGGAAGGAAGGAAGGAAGGAAGGAAGGAAGGAAGGAAGGAAGGAAGGAAGGAAGAAGAGAGAGAGAGAAGGAAAGGAGGGAAGAAAGAAAGAAGGGAAGCAAGCAAGCAAGCAAAGCAGAGCATGAAGACGGGGGTGCTTTTAGGAACGTCCAGAAGGCCTCTAACCTGAACATCACCCTAGACGGATTTTTCCAGACTACTCCTAAAAATACATTTACAGAGGAATGACCAGAATCAGATCTCAATGCCCCAAACTCTTGTCAAAATTAAATCCTGAGAAATATACCCAAGCCTATTAATGAAAAGACAAAATTTTTTCTTTCAATTGTGAAACTACTCCCCCACTATTTGCCAACCTGGGGCAGAAACATTTTTCCAGCTCCAAAAAGATCACCAACAACTTTCATGCCATTCATCAGCGGCCCTTCGATTATATTCAGAGGTCGAGGGTATTTTTCCTGGTTTAATCTGGCTTCTTCAGTATCCTCAATAATATATTTTTCAATGCCCTACAAAAAAAAAATTAGGAAAAAGATCACAGAAAAAAAATGGCTTAAGTTCTAATGGCTAACAAAGAATAAATCATGGAAATAGGAAAGAGTGTGGGTTTTGGAATCAGACTGCTCATGTTCAAACCCAGGCTCCTTTCACTAATTTAGACAATTTATTAAGCCTCAGTTTCCTCGATTAACATATCACATAGTACCAACTTCATACGGTTATGTTAAGGATTAAACAAGATAAATCATGTAAAGTGCTTAGCTGGCTTTATTGATATGAAGTAACCGCCTAGTAAAAGCGAAAAATTAGTGACAAAAAGAGCACTAATAAGTTCAAATTCATAATCAAATACACTTTTTATCCTAGTGGTTTAACAGATGACACACTGACAGACATCTCCCGTGACATCGGTGTGCTTTCTCACTGCAATGTCACAGGGCAGGGGGAGGAAAGACAATGGGCAGGACCCGGAGGCGAAGTTCAGACCCATGCAGCCTCCACTGACTTGTCCAGCCTTCACAGAAAGCCCCCACCCTCCAGTGTCTCTAGTTCAAGGATGCTTGGAGGTGGCTGACTAGTTCCACAACCGGAAATATGTGAATCTAAAGAGTTAAAGAAATAAAAAGTTAAGTCTAGAGGCAAAAAAGAACTCAAAAATCTTCCAGACTTACAAATGTGGAAACTGAAGCCAAGAGATTATCTCACCTAAAATTCCAATTACAGCAGAAGAGCCAGGACCCGCTTGCTGACCAAATGACAGCAACCTGGTCTAGAACAGTGTTTCTCAAGCTCGGCACTGCTAACATTCTGGACTGAGTAACTCTTGACGTCCTGTGCATTGCAGGATGTTTGGCAGAGTCCCTGGCCACTGGACGCTGCAAAACCTTCCACCCCGAGTTGGGACGATCCAAAATCTCTCTAGACACCGCCAAATGTGCTGGACACAGGGGTAGGGTGGAGGGCAAAATCTCGCAGGGGTGGTCTCGGACACTCCTAGGTCCTGTCAGCACCTCCTGTCCAGCGATGACACCAGACAAGCAGAGGCTCCTGCAGCCCTGAAGTCCACGCTCACCTTCACGAGGGCGTACTCAAGGCGCTCCTCGATGGGGCCGCCCCTCCACTCATCCGTCTGGATGACCTTCTTCCCTCCTTTGTCCTGGGCCTGGGTTGGAATCAGGACAGAGAGACGGGTACAACAGGTCACTTACTCAACTAACGGGCAGCAAAAACTATGCCTTCCTCTTCTTTTATGTTTCAAGGCCCTAGCACAATATCCAGCATGAATTAAGGCCTCAGTAAGTGTCTGAGGTAAGGAGAGACAGAAAGACAGAAATCTTTTAGGACCCGAACTTCTACTTAGAAAAATTTTTTTCCCTTCCAGTTTTATTAAAATATAATTGACAAACAGCACTGTATAAGTTTAAGGTGTCCAGTATGATATGACTTACGTATGTTATGAAAGGATGACCACAGTAAGTTTAGTGAACATCCATCATCTAACACAGATACAAAAAAGAAAAAGGAAAAAATATTTTTTCTTATGGTAAGAACTCTCAAAATTTATTCTCTCAATAACATCCATATGTAACACACAGCAGTGGTGAGTGTATCTACCATGCTGTACGCCACATCCCTAGCAGTTATTTATTGTACTAGAAATTTGTACCTTTCGACTGCCTTTATCCAATTTCCCCTCCCACCACCCCCTGCCTCTGGTAACCACAAATATGATCTCTTTTTCTATAAGTCTGTTTGCTTTTGAGGCATAATCGACCTACAACACTGTTAGTTCCTGGCACACAGCACAGTGACTCAGTATTTCTATACATAACAAAATGATCACCACTAGGATTTGAACATTTAACAGAGGCACAGAGAAAGGCTCCGTTTTTTCCTTTCCTTCTTTCCTAAAGGAAAGCCTCTTGGAACAAAAGATTTCCATGATAGTAAAGAGGAGCCAAACCCCGTATCTGAAGAGCTTTTAAAGTTCTCAACAGAGATCATCACCACTCACAGATACATGTAGGGAGGCCGTAATGAAACTAAGTCAGAAATCATCCTGGAGGTGGGCACACTAAGAGGTGCAAGACACAGACTGTGCTCACCAGGACTTTGCTGCACCACAGGGAGGTGGAAATACACAAAGAAAGGTAAGCTACGTGAGAAAGCACGTGCCAAGGGCTGGATGAGGAGATGATACAGACAAGGCTAGAACTCTGAGAAAGGAGTAACTGTCACAGACGAGTGGTAAAGAGATACTTCAAAGCAGCTGACAGATTCAGCAAAGAGACAGAAGTGCACACACAGACTGACCTCCTCCATCTCAGCTGGGGGCACTCGTAGCCCAAACCGGAAATCTAAGTGTCATTCCTGAATCTCCATCTGCCCTCACATTCAGCCAGCCCTCATGATTACTGCCTCGATACTCCTCTCCACTCTGCTCCTACTTTCACAGTCCAAGCAGCTCACTGGTGCCTGCAGCCCAGGAGCACCCCGGTATCCCGCACACCTTCTGCACTGAGCCAGAGGGGCCTTTCCAAAATGCAAGCCCGATCACACGCCCCCGGTGAAGAAATTCATTATCATTCCCTACTGCTCCCTGGATACAGTACTGGCTCCTTTCCAGATTGTACAGCGCCCTGCTCTGGCTTTCTCCAGCTTCATCCTCTGCCATTCCCAATGAGCTCAGCCATCTTGAACACTTCACCCCCTTACCCCGTCCACCATCTCTCTGACCTCCAGCCCTCCACGTTCGTTCACCTGACAGACACTTACTCAGCACCTACCAGACAGCCAGGCCCCAGCCACATGCAGTGACTCCTCCTCCGGCAGGGGCCAGTACTGCACTCCAGCCCCAAATCTCAGCGTGCCAACTCCTCTCTGGTTCTCAGGTCTGACACATCACTGCTGGAGGCCTTCCCTGACCACCTCTACCTCTGGGTTCAGTGTCCTTCCTCAGCAGCCTCAGAGCACCCCATACTTGCCCTATCACAGCACCCACCCCACACCAGGTTACAACTGCCCCTGTGTTCTGCACGTCCCACTAAGCTGTGGGCTCTGCGTGGGCACACTTGTCTTAATAGTTAGACCCTCCAAGTTCAGGAAGTGCAAAGCACAAATCAAGAGTTCAGTAAGTACTAGCTGGATGATTTAATGCTGAACAAAAGTGGATTTTCTGGAGCAATGTGTGTGCAGAATGGTAGAAGCCAAGTCACAGAGTGCCGGAAATCCATGCCATGGATTTGGAACTTAACGTTCCGGGCAACTGTGGTGGAGGTGGGGCTGGGAGAGCGACACAACACAAAGTTCTGAAGCTACATTCAAAGCAGTATTTTTAAGAGAACCCTAGAAGAGGGAGAATGTTTTAATAGTCTGTGATGAAGGCCTGAACTACAGTGGGAGGGGCAGGGAGGGAAGGAAAGGACATAAAGGCACCAACATGGACAGTGTGTAAGAAAAGAAGAAAGGGCCTGGGGAGAGCTCCAAGACTTAGGGTTGGAGTGGTAACTGAATAATAAAGAACAGGGCTCTCTCACCTACGGAAAGACCAGCGCCTTGCTCACATGCTGAAAAACCTTACAGAAGACAGCAATTTGAAAAAAAAATATTTCCATGAACTTGTTTGAAACAAAATCACAGACACAGAAAACAAACTCGTGGTGATCATGGGGGGAAGGGGAAGGTGGAGGGATAAACTGGCAGTTCTGGATTCACAGATACTAACTACTATCCATAAAACAGATAAACAACAAGTTCCCACTGTATAGCACAGGGAACCATATTCAGTATCTTATAATAGCCTATGATGTAAAAGAATATGAAAAGGAATATATACGTGTGTAAATGAATCACTATGCTGTACAACATAAATTAACACATTGTAAACCAACTACACCGCAATTTAAAAAATATTTTTTAGAAGTATATACAGAAAAAAATAATTTTCAGCATTATTTACAGTAGCCAAGACATGGAAACTACCTGAGTGTTCATCAATGAAACAATAGATAAAGAAAGTGTGCTGTATACACACAATGGAATATTATTTGGCCACATAAAAAAGGAGGCCCTGCCAAATATCACATGATCTCACTTATATTTGGAATCAAAAAAAAAAACTGAATTCATAGATACACAGAACAGATTGGTGGTTGTCAGAGGCGGGGCTTAGGGGAGGGGAAATGAGTGAAAGTGGTCAAAATAAAGTAAGTCCAGGGGATGTCATGTGCAGCATGGTGAGTACAGTTGTTAATAACACTGTACTGTGTATTTGAAAGTTGCTGGGAGAACAGATCTTAAAAACCACAAGAAAAAAAAATTGTAACTATGTGTGATGACAGATGTTAACTAGGCTAATTGTGATGATCATTTTGCAATCGACACTGATATCAAATCATGCTGTATAACTGAAACTAATATTATATGTTAATTATACCCCAATTTAAAAAACTAAAAGTTACAAAACTCATAGATGATATACTCTGACTTTTATTTAAGGGAAAACGCAAAACCAGAGCTATGTGACACCACACACACACACACACACACCAGAATCCTTCTAAAGCCCACATTCACATCACTAGATACACATAAGCACCGTTTCTTCCATTAGTCACACAAGCAGGCAATTCCTGCTGCCGGATGGAGTTTGATATGTAAAAACAGGGCAGAGTATTCCAAACACGCTTGGAAAAAAGACCTGGTGTGTTCACAGAAAATACCAGTGTGCCACAAGGTGGGGGGGGGGGGTCAATACACATGCGGTTATGAACTGGGGCAAATGAGGATGCAGTGACGGCCAGAGAAGCTCTCAGTACAGTGCTGGAGGCTCAGTGAACGAAAACTCCCCACCTACTGAACACGCTTCAGAAAATCAGTATTTTAAATGAACCTGAACCATTTAAGAGCAGCTATTTCAGAAGACAACACGGCATGCTGTGCCCACCTTGCTTTCCAACTGGCGGTTCAGCAGGACGTTCTCCGTGATCTAGACACAAGTTGTGCAGTTCCATGCACCAAGTCAGGCCAGTCACCTGACACACTGAGGAAGCGCATGGAAACAAAAGCTTCCAAGCACACCGGCCATTCAACTGTCATGTCCACCTGGATACTCCTTCCATCTGCACCTACTGCTCCAGACTAGCTCCTGCTTCACAGGGTCCTGACAGGGACCTGTGTCTTGTTTCTGTTATCAAACCAGACCAGCATCAAGGGAGAAAGCCAAAGAGCAGCGTGCACACCCACTGGCAGTAAGGAGCATTACGCTGCATCAGGGAACGGACGACCTTTGTTCCAGAAAAGTATCAAGAATACTAATGTCCGATAAACCCACCGTCATCTGCAGAAAATCACAAGCTGAAAATGCATTTACACACCTAACCTTCTGAACATCATACCTTCGCCTTGCTTACCTTAAACGTGCTCAGCCTACAGCTGGGCAAAGACATCTAACACAAAAGCTTATTTTGTAATAAAGTGTTGAACATCTCGTGTAACTTACTAAATACGGTACTGAAAATGAGAAACAGAATGGCTGTGTGGGTATAGAATGGTAGTAGCATATTGCTTGGCTCCCCTTGTGAAGGTGGGGCAGACTGGGAGCTACTGTGGCTGCCACTACCCGGCACCACGAGAGAGGACTGCACTGTGCGTCACTCGCCCGGGAAAAGATCAAAATCCAAAATTCAAAGCAGGTTTCTAGTGATTGCTCACTGATTCTGCACCACCGTAAGTCGGGGACGTCTGGATTCTCATAATCCGTGGTCATTCAAGAGCCACCCTCCCTAGAGCAGAGATCCTCCTCGTTCGTGCTCAAAGGGTCACGACCTCTGTGAGGGCACCACCCAATAAACAAACTCCATGTGGATTATATGGCGCCACGTTGACGCCTGGTGCTTCTCTCAGCCAGAACAGTCTGCTCACCACAGGTCAGTCTCTGCCCATTCGGGGGGCTTACTTTTCAGTAAAGCCCATCAGAGTTGAAGAAGCTCAGAGACAGGACTCTTCCTACCATGTTCAACAATGTATCGGATGAAACTTGGGTGCAGACTTCATCATTTAGTAACAAAGAGAGATCATTCTCTTATAAAGATAAAAAAAATCCTCAACCCTTATTTGCTTCCTAAAATTCCTGCTTTCATGCTCCACATACCCTTGGCGTATCCTGAGGAATTGCCACAGAGCTGGCAACTCGTGGAAGTTACTAAAGTACACCTGTTTGGGTTACTAATTCCTTAATGGTAACAGAAGTCACCTTGAATGTAGACAGCCTACTTGACAGAAGAGTCAACGGCTTCTAATAAGCCCTTGTGGTTACATTGAGAGGGAAGCAATTTTTTGTATGATGGGTTGTTAAACCCTTGCAATTGCTATTAAGATTTCCCTCAAGCTTCAGCTGTGCCCCAGGGGCAAAACCTCCTTTGTTCTGGTATTAAGAAGCAAAAACCTGTAAACCAATAGTAAAAGTGAACATAGACCAAAAGGAATGACAGAAAATACAAAGCCAACAAAACCTTAAATGAGAACAGTCTTACAAATGAGGAGCCCTATCTTTCCTAAGTGAGAGCTGTCTCATCTGGACAGTGGAGAAGAGCAAATAGCACATGACCTTATGGGTTAATTAAGAATGCTCTACGTAACTTTCTGACCGCAGAAGCTATGATGTCCTCTTGGCCTCAGCAGAACACTGTCTTAGTGAGTAATTAATGAAGGGTCCCCCACTCAGTGGAAGACAGGCTAAGACACAAACTGAAGAATAGTGTTTCACACCATGTCTTCATGTTCAAAGAATATTAAAGGGCTAAGCATTCTGCCTACATGAGTAGAAACTATCATGGAAATAGGGACAGAAATCTAGGCATTGTTTCTCACGTAATGAGGGGGAAGCAGAACTTGAATTTGTTTGCAATAGTCAAGACCTGAGAAGCTCTGTCCTGGGTCCACACAAGAAATCAGGAATGTTTACAGGGAGCGGAGAGGAGGGTCATGTGCTCGTGGCAGTCTAAATTCCAACCAGCTTTGCCGAATGAACTAAGGCCAACACATGCAGTCTCAGAAATCCCAATCCTGCCACCCATGCGGTGATAAATCAAGGATGCGTAGGTCCTTAAGTGTCCCACCCTTCTCCCAGGACACTGCAGCACTCTTGCAGGGGAGGAAGACATTAACACAGGCGGCAACACACACCAGTGCATTCGACCATGTTCCAACACGGTTTGTGGGGAAAGTGTCTTCCTCTGCCGTTGCTTTCTGAAATAAACTAAAAACTTGTTTTGAGGTAAGGATCTCACCTTTCCTTAAACTGAATTCTAGGAAGCAGCACCCATGATATACAGGACCAACACATAATAAACGGAAACAGGGAACTGGCTTCAGATTAACTGTTAAGTTCTCCTGTCTATAGATCAAATGCGTACAGATCTCAAGTCCTGAATGCAGAACTTTGCCACGACTGGATCAGACCCTAATATAAAAATCAGTGTAAACGTAATACAAACAAATGTAAACATGTAACAACGGGAACACAGCAACACAAGAAAACCTAAGAGCCGATTTATATTACCAAATTATGAGGAAGAAAAATATCCCATAAAATGGAAAGATGTTCCAGAATACTGCTAAACAAACAGGTTACCAAAAAAGCATCTACAGTACAGCTCTACTTTTATAAAGTGTGTGTGTGCGCGTGTATGTGTGTATACACCTATGAGTACACTTTCACTTTGGAAAAAAAAAATTGTGACCAGAAGGCTGTAACAGAATCTCAGCAGTGGCTAACAGTGGGCAGTAGGATTATGAGTGATTTTTATTCTCTTCATCTGCTTATCTGTACTTTGTACACTTTCTAGAATTAATGGTACTTGGGTATGAGAAAAGTTAATTTTACATTTTAAAATAAATCTAAGGAAATACAAATTCAGAATCCTGCAGCAGACCAGGTTTGGTCTGTTTCTCCTTCCTCGCCCTAACTAAAACATCTTCTCTGGAGCTCTCCGCAGAGATCTTCAGTGATCCAAAGACATGCTTGGATACTTGCTTCTATTCCACAGTGAAGGTCTAATAACTCTGCGTGAACCACAGGCTCAAAGACAGGAAAAGCCATTGGTGAGAACACCTCTCTCTACCTGGGCGTAGCGCAAGAGCTTCTCGGTGGCCTCGGGGTCTTTGTTCCAGATGAGATCTTCACAGAGCTGGAGGAGTTCCTTGTGGATATCATCATACACAGGAAGGTTCCCAGCATTCACTATCCCCATGTCCATACCAGACTAAGGGCAATAGAAAGAAAAATGAGGGTTTCCAAGGATACTCTAAATCAGGGGTCAGCAACCCTTTCTGTAAAGGACCAGACAGGAAGAACTGCAGCCACAGTCCCTGTTATAACTACTCAGTCGCCTGCTGTAGCATAAAAGCAGCCATAGACAACATGAGTGAGAGGGTGTGGCTTTGTTCTAATAAAACTTTATTCACAGAAACTGGCAGCAGGCCAGAGTTAGTGTGTGGGCCAAAGTTTGCAAACCCTTGTCCTAGGTAAACGCTGGTATCAAAGGGCGAACAGGTGTCCCACTATACCTTGATGGCATGGTAAAGGAAAACCCCATGCATTGCTTCTCGAATGGCGTCCATTCCTCGGAAGGAGAAGGACAAGTTGGAAAGACCTCCACTCACTTTGGCTCCGGGTAATGTTTCCTGAAAAAAAATTTTTAAATGTGAAAAGATTTCCCTAGTTTGTCAAAAGCAGCAATCAAATCCCTCAAGCTTTATATATAAGAGTGGAAAGTAAAAAAAAAAAAAAAAAAAAAGAAAAATAACATAAAGTTCAAAATAATTCAGAGCTTCTTGTAGCTAGACAAAGACTGAAACTTGTATTTTCGGGCATCACAAAGGCACTGCGTCACAGTCTTTCCTCCTAGGCTCTAATCTCCCTAGGGAAAATAAAAAATTCTGCTTTATCTCCATATGTTTCTGTAGTGACCGTGACAGGGCCACAGTATGTGGTCAGTGGGCTGTAACATGCTTGCTGGATAAGTAACAAAGAAAGAAAGAAAAAGAGACAGACAGAGAGTAGTCTGTCATTCACTGAAAGCACAAGCTACTAAAAGGCTTCCATAGCCTAAATGGCCAGACTCCCTAGTTCACTATCAACTTGACTAACTGTAAAGGGACAGACGGAAACTGAGGTTCCCAGCACACCTGTGACACCGCAAGTCTGTGCACGCATGTGGAACAACAGGGCCTCTCACTCACTGCTGGTTAAAGTACAGACTAGCTCCAGCATTTAGGAGGACGGCGGCCACTACCTGCTGCTGGGACCCCGCCATTCCACTTCCGGGTGTGTGCTGTAAGGAAGCTCATGCGTGTGCATGCAAGAGACACACATGAGAATGTTCGTATCAAAACTGGAAACAAACCAAATGACTATCAACAGCAGAGCAGCTAATCATGGAACAGTTACGTGACGGAATATTATACATTAATCAAAAACAAAGCACAACTACACACGCGAACCACACGCGAATCTTTAAAAATGGGACTGGATGAGGAAAACACACATAAGAATCTTAAGGTTCTACTTATATTGAGCTCAAAAATAGGCAAAACTAAACTATACTGTTTGTGCAGTTAATTCTCGTTATTTGTGGTATCTGTGCTATAAAGCCACTGTGACCACTGAGTTGGGGAAACTGAAAACTGCAGCTCCCACAGGAACTGCAGGGTTAGGTTCCTGAACCTCTGGTCACAAGATTTTCATCACTGATCAATATATAACCTTGTTTTGTATGTGTTCCCGTGTAAAGACATCCTGTTTGATACAGACTGTGGATTCACTAACACCGAGCTCGCAGCCAACAGCACCACAACCCACGACTAAGCAAAGCTCATCTAACCCACGTGCTTCCTCCAGAAGGCACGCCGCATCCAGCCTTCTCGTGCCCAGAACACTAGCCAGCACTTCCGTACAGTGCTGGGGGGCTGCTTACATAGAGAAATCAATCACCAAGAAAAACCCAAGAGTGTGAAAAACACTAAATAAATGGCACCACACAGACCATGAAAAGGGCACCTGTTTACACACTAAGAGCTGAAACAAGAGGGCAGGGCTCGCCCTTGCCGGCCACCTGGAGCACGTGGGTCAGGCCCTTAGACCCTTCACACCCTGCACACGTGTGCCCCACGTGACCACAAAAGCACCCCGAGTACTGCTGTTGGGGACACAAATAAATTGTAGCAAGTAGGTGGATTTGCAAATACGAAATCCATGGATAATTCAGGTTGTGTGTACAGAAGTGATAAACCTGTCAAGAAAAGCAACAAAGCACTATCCTAAAACTCAGGATGATGGTTCTTCGTAAAACTCAGCAGGCGGACACCATCAGAAAGGGGGAGATGGGGGGCACGACCCGCGTCCTGTATTTCAGGACCTAAGTGAAAGTCGTCATAGACCTCATGACTGGTATGCTCTCTGTGTGTTTTTTATATATTCCCCAGTGTGTGTGCTGTACTTCACAATATAAAATAACACAAGAAAGAAAAATAATAAAGGCCCCTAGATTTCAGAAAACCGATTTACTACCTAAGAATAAGAATGTCAACATTCCCTGCCAATAAATACCTCTGCTAGCTCAAGCTACCCACGGGAGCCACGTGATACATCTGAGCAACGTTCTGGGTAGAGAGAGAAAACACTCATACTTACTTTAATGACTTTCGTTGCATAGATAAAATTAACAGCGTACAAGTTGTGTTCTTCCATTCCAGTACCGATGGTGAGGATGTTAGGGTCGAAGATGATATCATTTGGATTGAAGCCCAGTTTCTGCACGAGTAGATGGTAGGCCCGGGTGCACACCCTGATTTTATTGTCTGTTTCTGTTGCCTGGGGAAAGAAGCAAAAAATGTAATTTGAAATAGAAAAATGAAATGTTATCTATGCAAACAAAAGGACACTGCACTTGTCGAAAGCACTTAAGTATCAATGTTTGGATTTCACAGAAATCCAAATGTCAAGCAGGCTCTAAATATCTGTCGAATTATCTCAGAGGAGGAATTGGTTTGAAGTCCCTTTGTGTTTTCATCAGCACAACAGTTACACTCCTGTAAAAGTCAAACCTTACATACACGTATGGTATGTCAGTTAAGTAGGCTTCTTAAACACATAGATGATAAAAATTCAACTACTACTGAAGAATAAATTAAACAGCAAGTGCCCCTTGTCCCTGGGCCCGCCGGCAGTGTCCTGGCCCATCACCAGCACAGCTGCCACTGCTCTCCTGGATCCTCCTGCAGATTCAACCCTACACAGATTCAAGGACACGTATTCATTCCCCACCCTCACCCACCATAACGTTAGCTCACGAACGTGTACCTTAGGTCATAAATACAAGGTAATGTTTCTTGTCAAAACAGTGACCCTAGAAAGCCAAGCACTGACCCCAGCAGAGCTCTACCCCCGTCACTTCCCATCACCCTCAAGTCAGGGCCTCCATCTCCAGTTTTGTTTCCTGTCGTTGGCCCCTCGTCCACTCCACCCTCCCCACACTGCTCCTTGGAGCTTCCTGAAGCCCACCAAGCCTGTCTTCCCGCAGAGCCTTCCTACGTGCTGCTGCCATTGCCCAGAGCACACTGGCCATGGCTCTGTGCTCCCATCACTCTGGTCTCTGCCCAGAGACGCATTCCTCAGTCACCGCCTCTAAACCAGCCCCACCACCACGCTTCCTGCCTCCTCCATTCTTCTTCACAGCATCTCTCCTTCTAGAAATTAAATGTATTTGTCAACTTGTCTATTCTTTGATTATTTGCTTATTATCTGCTATTAGCCAACCTGAGCTAGAACCAGTCTTGCTGTACCCCAGTGCCTAGAGCAGAGCCCACAGAGGGTGTGCTCAACACTACCACTGAATGAAGGAAAGGATGAGGCTCTAACTCCAGGTGTTTCTGAACTCTGTCATGGAAACTGCTTTCAGATCAAATATACCACCTCAACGCAAGGCTTATTCAACAAACGACATTCTGAATGATTTCTGGTTCTATTAAAAAAACAAATCAGCTCTGAAGGAAAAATGAATACTTGCTATCAGTATGGTGATTCCAAAAAAATAAGTCCCACACAGTTCTGAATAAATGTGCAAAATGTTCTTGAAAAACGGCCAACAGCACTGAATGAAGTGTTGAGTGTTCCAAGCTGACTACTCTGAGGGAAGAGACCCCTGACTGGATGCGAGGGCAAAGTGTGGTAAAGAGTCAGCTCCTGATCACACGCATCCTGACCTCCAGGGAGAGCGCTCCAGGCCACCCGGAGAAGAGGGGTGAGGACACTCAGTGAGGCCCCATCCTCCAGGGAAAGACATGCTCGGGGAATCAGAAAAAGAACTCCCTCTCAGAGCTGGGCTTTTGATCACTTACCTGCTTTGGCATTCATTTCTACTGCTCTCCTTGGTCACTAATCTCTCCCTGCAGCTTGTGGGGTCAGATTTCACCTCCTGCTGGGGGCATCCCCCGTGACTTGGCAGATCAAGGGGCCAAGGGAAAGGACCCCACACAGTGGGCTCTGCAGCCCCATGGCTCCAGGCTGAAGGGAAGACGGCAGGCCCTCCTCCGCCTTGGCTGACTGTCCTCAGCAACTTCTTACTCCTCCTTCAGTTAGAGCGACAAAGTGAAGACCAAGCTGTGGGCCCAGAAGTACGTGGTCAGGAGCAGGTCGCCCAGATCCGCCTTCAGTCTTGGACTTTGGGTCCCCCTTCACCAGAGGGCCAAAGGGAATTTGCAGGTTCTAGGTTCATGGCCCAGCGAGGCTAGGAGACAAGGAGTGAGGGTTTGGGGTCCCCGTGCTGTCAGCATCCCTTAGTAACCGAGCTGGGTTGCTAGGCCCTGGTCATTTCTCTCTCTGAGCCATGAATGACACACGGCTGAGTCTGGCAGGCTAAGCGTGTTAGGCACGGGAAGTGGGGGTTGGGGGACAGCTGTGTACCAGAGGACAGCGCTGCAAGCAGAACCAGCAAGAGCACCCTCACGGACAGGAGTTCATTTCCAAGCTAGAACAGAATCATCAACCAGCAGCTCTGTAAAGATGAAGCCTTGTCAAACTGTCCTCCCAGCACCGGGTCCAGTGCCTGCCACATTAACAGACACTCTACTTCTGCACGTTGAATAAGCAAGTGAATCTCAGAACGCACGGAGTCTCAGTGTGCAGGTCTTTGCCAGGAGCACATCGTGTCAGATTCCCCAAGGCTCGCCTGTCCTGTTCCTCAGCCAGGATTGTAAGATAAACATGCTGTTGGCCTCAGTGCCTGAGGACTTCACAGATCCAGAAGGCTCTCCACTCTAACCTGGAGGGATTTTCGTTTCCAGTACCTGAACCCCACCTGAAGCCTGTTAAATCAGAACCCTGGGATGAGGCCTAAGCATCAGTACTTTCAAAGAGCCCCCCAGTGACTGCAGCTCACAGCCGGGCGAGGAATACCGGCTGGGAGATGGCGCCTTCTCAGGCTGTGTCAGAAGAAACCTCAGTGACAGCACCACAAATCTAAGGGTCGAGAAAGAAGGAATAAACATCCTGTATGACTTTTTGATTTACCAGGTTTACTCTTCGCTGTAGAAAAGCTAGACAGCCATCAGGAGGTAGAAGGCTTCAGCTGAGAGATCCACTGCTTGGGCTCTGCTGAATTATCAGACACTTAGGGAGAAATGAGATAAACTTAAAACAATTTTTGATTTAGTCATCAAGGCACATACTGTGAGAAAGAAAAAGGAAGAGAAAAAAGGAAGGGGAGACACCTGGGTTCTCTGGAAATGCAGCCTGACAAGGAGCAGAGGAGGAATGGGACCAACTCCAGAGGCAGGTTAAAGGTTTCAAACCTGACTGAACAGCTCAGCATGGACCACAGAGCACAGCAGGAGGCCGTCCCTGCTGCCACAGAGTGCAAAACGCAAGTGACGCAAAGGGACGTCTGTGCTGCCATCAGAGGGCACTGACAGGTCAGAGAGAAAAAGCTGAAGAAGGGGAGTTTCCAAGGGAAAAACACATGACAAGAGACACCCTGGTTTTCAGAATCACTGAGGGCGTGGACTTGGTTCAGACATCATTTGAGCGAATTCTCTACTGTGGTTAAGTATGTGGACAAGCGCAGCTGAAGGCAAGGGTCAGGACACCTAGAGCCTGGGCAGAAGCAGCAGCCACGTGGGCAGAAGCGAAGCGGGGAGGAGAGCCTGCCCGTGGTGGAAGAAGAGGGCAGAGCACTGGGCCAGGGCTGCGGGAGATGCAGACAACCAGGGATGCCTCCCTGCTCACTCAGCCCCCAAGCCCTGGCAGAATTCATCCTCCACGCAGAATGCAGATGCCAGGAGCCCGGGATTAAGCAGGAAATGGACAGGATTTAAGACACGGAGAGGAAACCTGGTGTGGAAAAAGGGGTCTCAGGTTGCAATCTAGAAACTGCAGGCATCACCACTGAAAACTTTTGAACTTTTAAAGAAATCAAGTTGTTTTAAATGTCACCTGCTCCTGGCTTTTCTCTAGGAACCAGAGAGAGAGGGGCTGTCTGTGGGAAAATCCTACTCCACAAAGCCAAAAGGCCTGGATGAAGCAACACTGTGTCCTGATTGCAGCAAATGAACCCACTCAAACCTTCTCCCTCACAAAGAGGGGTGCCAGGCGTGTGTCGGGGAGCTGGGACTCAGGGTGGGAGGTGTGCCAACTGCATGCTGTGCCGTTAATCCTGCGAGACGACCGAACATCCAGGCGTGGTCTTGAGACCAAGCGTGGCTGGGAGGCCTTGCGCTCCTCACCCCTTCCACAAACTCCCACCTCTGAAGGTAATCTGGAGAAACTGCCTCACAAACAGAGAATTTAGAACACAATCCATCCTACAAGGAAAGGCCCAAGGAGAGAAACACTCAATCATGTCACTTAGCCAGAGAGGGTGACCTCTCTAAGGCCCCTGAAACTGCAGGAGTATATGTCAGGTTTTAACAAAGCCCAGAGAGGGCCAAAGCAGGTAACCTGACAGTCAACTCCTAGGCTTCGGTCACCTGCCTTCAGCAGGGTGAAAACAAAGGGAAAACTAACCAACACTGCCGCTGGTTTCCTAGAACTATGTATTTATAATACTGTGGTGCATACCCAACTGGAAGGCATAAAATACTCAACTGAAAAACAGTATCAATTTAACTAAATTAAACAGAGTTCAGTTATGACATAAAAATCTACAAAGTCACTACCAAAGGAAAAATGCTCACGAGAAGAAAAATAAGCCAAAATCACAACAAAACAACACAAAATACCCAGGAATGCTCTTGAGACTCCCTACTTCAGGAAAACTATAAAACTTGACTGAAAGTCGTTTCATGTTCATAAATGACTCCAAGATACCAATTCCTCATTATTTTCTAGGTTAGGATTAAGTTTTAAACAATATCCTTAATGGGACATTATTTCGCCATAAATTAGAAAATTATTTTCAAGTCTTTTTAACATAGGAAACTGTGCTGAATATAATGAATCTTTTACAGGATGATGTTGATTCTTCTTTTATACAGTTTACAGATGTGCAAACAGAAATAATACAGTCCGTGCTATTATGTGATGCCGTGCTTCTAAGAAACCTTACTTACCAAAACCTGTCATATAAAATGATGACATCAACTAGAAAGGAGAAGTAAATCTAGAAAGTGAGTAGTGGTAAGTTATTTTTCACATAGAAATTTCAATAATAAAATGTTCTTTATCATATTTTATATAATCTTACACATATTACAAAAACATGTATATTTTGTTATTTTAGGGTTAAAAATTTCAGTTGATCAAAACTACTAACAACAAACAACACAGAAAGGCTTCCTCATTTGCCTTCTAACCCAGAAATCTCTGAGCCAGTCCTC